GTGTTGTTGATAACGAAAATCCAATTTTTTAAATTCACATCTGTCTGTATGTCTGTCCACAAGGTCGCGTTTGTTGTCGATAATCTCCTTAACGGTTGGACCAATTTTGACGGAACTTGGATGTATTCGGGTTTATTATAGGATACTTTTTTTAATTCCGTGCTAACAAAGTCACGGGTGCCCTTTAGTATATTAATATAATAAAGTGAAATACGGTTATCTTTAATTACCTTTAAAGTGGTTTCTACGGTTGATATTGTAAACATAAACTTAATTCGAATTCCCAGAATACCCGAAATGACAATAAATATCAAAACGGCTTCCAATTATAATAAATTTAGTGCTAGTTTCACACGAGGGAACGGTGCAGTAGAGTAGTAGATAGTGCAATACCCCTGTTGTTTTAATATACTTTTGGTGTAGAATTTCATTGACGCCATATTGTATTATTTCACTTTCATTTTCTTTGACAAAATACATTTCATAAATATGTATTAATACAAGTTATGAATGTAAATTTCTACGGTTGCTGTCAAAAGAATATTGTGTTAGCGTTGTACATTTTTATATTGAGCTAGCTGTCGCCCGCAACATCGTTCGTAGGGAATTAAAAAAAAACATAATAAGTACTCTATGTGTTCTTCCAGACTATGTTCTACATGTGTGCCGACTTTCATTAACATCCGTTCAGCCGTCCCAGATATACCTTTAAACAAATACTATTCAAACATTGGCATTTATAATATTAGTAAGAAGTAAAATAAGCCATCGCTTGACCATGTCTTCTATCTACGTATTTTGACTTGACTTCAATTTAAACCAAGATTTTTAACTAATAGCAACACTGCAGTGGCTACTACTCTGCCTCACAGTTCTGCCCACGTGTGAAAGTAGAATTATTTCATTCGTTCGTAATCGTAATATTCCAAACTAATTATATTCGATTGAGAAGTATAGGTTAGTCAGGTTATCAGATATTTTTTTTTTCAACTCTAGTCTTAATTGCTTTAAGCCGGAAATCTCGTATGTTAACTCGTTTAATAACCAGTTTCCTGTTCGACTTAACTTGGCTTTTTGGTATCGCCCCAATTTATTCTTATCTACGTGCGCCGCTTCTATCAATTCCTACATCTGCATACGTTGGTTATTGAATAATGTACTTTAACATAAAAGTAATAGGGTTCATAATTAAAGTAATTTAAATTGCTACCATATATTTCAATTCTAAAAGTCCAATGAAGTTGTTTCTGATTTGATTTAAGTTCAAACATGTTACTCTATTCTTGTTGTATTATAGAGTCCTTTAGTTTAGTCCTAGTTTATTTTATTTTTTTTTTAATTAAGAAAAGAGATAAAAGGTCATTGACCTTACTTAAAATAAATAAGCTGTCACGATGTGTCATTGATAGAAAAGATTTATGCCACTTTTCACACCGTATTTGGACTAAAGTGACAGGTGTTAAGCCGATTGATATCTGTATGATCTTGCGTTTGATATTTTACTCTACACTAGCTGTCGCCCGCGATTCCGTTCGGGCGAATTAAAAAAAAAACTTAATTAGTAGGCTATGTGTTCTTTCAGACTATGTTCTACATTAGCGTTTTGGAGATACCTATTGACAAACATTTGCATTTTAAAATATTAGTAAGTCATATTTAGAGGTCTGCTTGCTCTTTTACCACCTTATCTTACTTCATACTAATATTATAAATGCGAAAGTTTAGATGGATGGATGGATGTATGTTTGTTAGGTAGAGGAAGACCAAAAAAAGTATGGAATGACTGTGTGAAAGAGGATATGCGTAGGAAGGTGGTAGACTCGGATATGACGGCTGATAGAGATGTATGGAGGAGTAGTACATACTGTGCCGACCCTGAATAGTGATAAGGGCAGGTTGATGATGATGGATGTATGTTTGTTAGAAGTTATTACTAGATGGCATAGATGTAGAACATAGTCTGGAAGAACACAGGCTACTAAGTTAGTTTACTTTTATTCCGCGCGGACAAAGTCGCGGGCAAATAAAAAACTTACCGATTATTTTCTAAAATGCATATTACAACAGCAAAATAAATATACTAACTTTATAGTAAAATGTTCAAATATGCATAATAAATCGATACATTGTTAAGGTGCTGTTCGTTTAATAACATAATTTCAATATTATGCATAAACACCGCGAGGCATTCGCGTATAGAGCCCGACTTATTTGCACGGACCACCCGTTTTAAGGCATTAAACTAGTTTCAGCCCGCGGCTTTTTATGCTTCTGTTGCTTATTTTTTTAATTCGAAATCTCTACAATTTTGCGCGACACTTTAAGACGTCATATAGTGAAACGCCTTTTGTGATAGAAACCTCAATAAATATAGGTTTTTGTAACTCCCTTACTAAAAAGACTTACTGAGAAAGGTGGATCAGGGGAAGTAGGAGCATCAGACCACGGGGAAGATCGCCCATGAGATGGACTGACTAAATCATGCGGCTCGTGAAGCGGTTCACTGATACCTGATGACCACGACCAGTCTGAAAAGTCTGCAGCGATAAAAAAGAACTAAAAAAATAAAGGAATATCATATTGTAAAAATCACTATTGTGATTTAGCATAAGGAATCTGCGAAAAAGAGTACAAACCAAGGGTCTTTAGATGTCGTTTTTAGTAATAAATAAAGTCTTTTGTGTTAAAATCTACGTCTTTATTACGTATTGAGGCTCCCAAATTCTCATCATTACTTTGATGATACGGTTGCAATTGGCTCATCATGGCCTGAAGTGGATCTTGATTTATTGATGGTATAAACATTTAGTAGATTCTTTTATAACGCATGAAAGGATGATTGTAAAACCTATTTCACGTGGTTTATTGACGTTTTGTGGTACATTTAATACGAACAGATTGTTAATTTATAACGCTAGGCATATTATATTATAATTCTGAATGTTTGGATGGATAGATAGATGGATGAAGGGATGTTTATTACATGGAACAGCTGTATGGATGTCGATGACATTTGGTATAGATGTAGAACATAGTCTTGAAGAACACATACGCTACTAATATCGTTTTTTTAATGCTGTGCGGACGGAGTCGCGGGCGCTAGCTAGTTGGACATATATATAAAATTCTCGTGTCACAATTTTCGTTCCCATACTCCTCCGAAACGGCTTGATCGATTCTCATGAAATTTTGTGAGCATATTGAGTAGGTCTGAGAATCGGCCAACATCTATTTTGAATCCCGCGCGGACGGAGTCGCGGGCGACACCTAGAAAATTCGAATAATTTTTTGATAAAAATTGACGATCAAAATTGTTCTTGTTTATTTTTATTTTAAGAAACAAAACAGTCATTATTTTATTTAAAAATAATATGCAGACTTGATTATTAGATTCTATAATTTTCTTTTTCATCTTTCACCTAATTAGATCAATCAACAAGAAACTTAATAAAAATCAATTAACAACCATTTCAAGATGCTTAAAACCTCATATTCCTAAGCGATAAGTAGAGAAGCCGCAAAATAAACGTCGGTTATTACCGCTTTCTTGGCAGGATCTCGGTTATGTATTGCTAAGGCTTTCAAGGATCCGGGAAGGATGTATGTGTGCGGTTTGTCACGAACTTGCAATCTAAAGATCCCACGATAATATCCTAAGGGGTGTGACTTTTTTTAGACTAAGGTTACACTTTATTTTGATAGTATTTTAGCAAAAGAACAAGAAGCAAAGCCTTCTTTGATTTTCTTTGAGTATACACAAAGCATATCTGCATTTGTAGATACGTTGCCTACGTTCAATCGACAGAGGAGGGAACGCATAGATGACATATCCCCTCCTCTGCCAAATCCACCTCCCCTTCCAATCATATTGTTAGGTTTAAGACTCTGGTTTATAACTGATCATCTCCCAATGTGGTATCAACTATTTTTTTTTGTATAAAATATTAGCAGATTTTTTTGTAAATTTACTAATATTACTTTTACCATTCCAACTAAGCTCTAGGCTTATGCTAGGATATGGTTTACGACAATAGTCGAATGGCGGGATTCGAACCCGCGACCTCGTGATCGGAAATCCGTAACCTTGACCATTAGGCTATTGACGCCTTAAATTATGACGCATAATTCTGAATCATATTAACTAATATACAATCAAAGACTAAGCAAAAAAAAGACTGAGTATAAATTACCTTAAGGCCATCTCTAGTTTATCTGAATTATTATAAAAAGTAAAAAATAAAGTCTAGTGTGCATCCACCTTTATAAAGCCACGTCTATCGTCTTTCCGCATAATTAGACATTACTAACACAACATGCCTGCTATCAAACTCCTGCACGAATAACTTTACAACCTTCGCCAAGCTCACTTAGTGATGCTTCTGATTTCAAGCGATTTATCGAGTTTATTTATTACTTACTCGACTATACAGAAGTTAACATAATAGACATTTGTGGGTTTCTGACATCAAAATCTCTGTAACAACATATCGTCATCCTTATCTTTTGTTTGACAAAACAGCGATAACAATTTGTTTTAAACGAGGATTTTGGTCTCAGAAACCCACGGTAAATATAAGTAGAATAAATAAAGAATAAAGCTATTTAAATGAAAAAAGCATTAGTACAACTGACTGTCACCTACGACCGACGTCTAATCTTACTAGGATGGATGGATAGATGAACAGATGGATCTCAACGGCTCAACGGATCCCGCTGAAATTTGGCGTAGATGTACAACATAGACTGGATGAACACATAGGCTACTAAGTTTTTTTAGTCCCCACGGACGGTGTCGCGGACGACATCTAGTTATTTTTATTATCGGTTCAAATTAATAGGTTACAGATGATGCTAAGGAATTGGGTAAAAATTTAGTCTTTTGTCTATGGAGTAAAAAAACCTCGATTAATAATAGTGTGTATCTAGCTTTAGAAATAATTAAGTTTACAATAGGATTTCAACCTATTAGTTGTTAATAACGTTGTTTTTTTTTGTTACAGGTGTCATGAATGCAACAAGTTAAGGATGTAGTTAGCTAAGTAATAATGTGTGATATCGATATTCTGTCGCGAGAACCGTAGTGATGTGCTGGTGTCGACAATGATTGTGTCTCGTACGCAACTAGTGTTGTTCTGTGCGCTATTACATTATCGCGTCGAGAGTCAACAGGAGGTGCTTATTGAAGAGTCGTGTGAGTATTACGAAATATACTTTTTGATGTAATTCTTCGGTATGTGGATGTATTGTTTAGTACCTTTTATGCGTGTACCAGCTGTTGCACGTGACTCCGTCCGGGTGGAATTAAACTTAATAAGTAGTCTACGTTCTACATCCATGTAAAATTTTACCGAGATCTATTGAACCGGTCTGCTGATACATTCTAACAACCATCCATCCGTTTATAATATTAGTGAGATTACCAGAGTCAGTAGTCATTATATGATTAGTTAATGTAAGCGAATTTCGAGTAACGACAGAAACTAAAAATAGATAGAACTGAAGAAATCTAAAAATGTTTATATTAATTTAATTTTTGTCTCCTAATAACATGTTTAATCTATTTCCTTCGCATTTAAATCATAGAAGGATTTAACTGATACATTTTTGTATTTATAATACCTTAAAAAAATAAAACAATCTTCAGATTATTAACATTACCGTAAGAACGTCTGATAAATGTACATATGTAAATCGATAAACGATAAATTTGGTACATGGCGGGATTCGAAAACAGGACCTGTAGATTGCAAGTTAACAGCTTAACCTTTAAACCGCCGATGCTTTCGTATATAAAATATCCATTGTAATCAAATATCTCATACCATTAGCTATCTGAAGATCGAGAAAGATATATTTGTATGTAAATAGGCAGACATTACGTATATCTAATGTGATCGATGACGTAACAGGAGATACCGGAGTGCCGTTACATCCATTACGTGATAAGCAACTTGTGTTCACACAAATATTGATTTAGTAAGCCGACACGACAGATTGTATGATAAAAAATTTACTTACATGTCTTGTCTGTTATTTCTTTACTCTGTTATGTGCATCCACAGAGTATTTAACGGTTATGAAGCAACGCAATCATCAGCTCACTATACGTCCCTACTGGAATCGGAGCCCAACTTAAGTTAGATGACTAGACCATAGTCAACAACGCTAGCTAAGTACGGGTTAATCATGAGCTTACTGCTCACCACTGAGGGACTCGGAACCTCGGTGTTTCCGTTGCTCGTTTGCCCCCTACTTTTATAAGAAAACATATCCTTACTTAGGGGTGAGTAGGCCATAGTCAATCACGCTGGCCCAGTGCGGGTTGACTTCATACATAAATTTGAATTTCTACACAGGTTTGTTCAGCTAGAGCAAGTAATATAATGGAATATTAAAAATTAGGTAACTTTCTGGCTCCTTGCATTGTTAGTAGTTAGAGTACTTTTTGATTGTTATTCATCGCTTGCATACCTTCAAAGATATAAGGGGTGCTACCATCGCCCTTGGCGAGATTTCTACGGTGCCCCTTTTTTACCATACCGTGCCATGTGTTCCTTGTTATCTGACCCTCTCCCTGGGCGGTTACCCAACTGCACTCTACCCTAATATTACTGGATATACTACATACTATTAGGAATAAAATCTGACACTGTCCAGGTGTACTGGCGCAACACTAGCCTTACTAAAATGTCGACGTTTATGTCCCCTCACTAATCGTTCTGACATTTGCCTTGGTAAAGAAAGCGCGCAATTCGCGGCAAAGGATTCTAGCTAATAATATCTAAAAATACAAAGCCGCGTAAAACATTACTCTCAGTTGGTACAGCGTGAGAATTACATATTAATGCACATAATAAAAGCTTACAGTGTGTATTGAATGCCGTTATATTTCACACGTATTGTTTGAGAACGCAGTTTGATGCATTAGCACTCTTAACACTCGCTTTGATTACCCTTTTATTTGAATTAGGTCAAAGCGTAAAAAGAATTAAATTCCCTTTCCACATACGACCGTATACACAAATCGTGGGTATGAAATTAACGCCCTTAACTACATAAATTTGCCAAAGATTAGATATATTTCACTTTTGTTAATCAAAAGTTTTGATTGTGTCATAAATTCTTTCATTGATTTAGAGTTTATAACATCTTTATTTAGACTAACAAAATGTCTTCCTTAGAGAGAATGAAAATAAATTGTATTATAATTGGATACCATGGACGTTCGAGTATATTTAACCTTCCATTATTCCTCGACCAATCCTCAACAAGTGTTCATATATGCAACCAGCTGTCACCCATGACTAAGTCTGCACGGAATTAAAAAAAACTAAAAGCAACCTACGTGTTATTCCAGATGTTCTACATCTATGCTAAATTTCGAGATCCATGCAGCTGTTCTGCAGATACCTTCACACAAAGATCCGTCCATAAATACAAACATTTGCATTTATAATATTAGTACGATAATCAATTCATTGTAATATGCTGTAGACAGAGCGACTAATTTTTACAAGAGATGTGTCATTCGAGTCCTAATTGTGTGAGTAGTGTGCATGCACCCTTATAGGTTGTCCGGATTATTAATTAATAATTAGTTTTGACCTATAATATTTTCTAATTAAAACGACTATACTTTACTATTAGATATTAAAAGATTTACATAAAGTTACTTCGAACTGATTCCATTTAACCGGAGTCCTTACTTAGTATTTTATTTAACTTATCGATTAGAAAACTTGTTCAAACAAGTTACTAGAAATACTCGTATTCCTTATTTAAATATGGAGACGATAGATACGTTTATTTACAATGTTATTAATATCAAATAGGGACTGTCGTAAAGTTAACAACCATTAGCATTTGCCCGCGACTTCGTCCGCACGGAATCAATAAATAAACTTAGTAAATATACCAAAGTATGTTCTATATCATAATAATTATTAACCTGTTAACCGGGGAGTTCCCGTTCAAATTATGCAACATGTAGCGGGCGCGTATTGTTTCGCTAGGACATGTCAATACGTCACGCCCGGAGACCGTCATTTCACATTTCTATATTTTAATTTATTCATAAAATGAATGATAAGCTATGATAAATGTATATCGTTTATTAATAATTTTGAAGTACAAAAGGAATCACAAAACAATTAACAAACAAAATGGAATTTTTGAGGACGTATTCATATGTCCTACCCGTAATCGATATTGTTTACGCCTGACGCATTTATACGTCTTGTCCGGTTAACAGGTTAATATTTATAATATAATATTATAAATATTTTCTTTCTGTGCATCTCCTCCGTCGATGAAAGGTAGTCAACGCATATGCAATTGCGTATGTCTATGGGCAACGGTCACTTCGCTATTTCAGCGATTTCAGTTGGCCGCTCTCTAGTTTGCCTTATGATATAAAAAAAATCTATGTGTTTAATCGAGAACGTTTTGTATTTTTGTATGTATAATAAGATAACTAATGTTATGTTGTATGATAATTAATATGTTGGTTTTTAATATTACGTTTTTATTTAAAAGAAAATGTAGATATTTTTTTAATTTAATTTTTTTTTATCCTGTCAGGAAAAAAGTAAAAGAACAACTATGTCAAAGTTATCAAAACAATTTTAAAATGTACTTGCTTACTTAAAAAGAAACTCAAGACATCGATATGGTAATTGAAATTTAACGCGCGAAAGTCTCATTTTTGATACAGTGTAGTGGAAACACACCTTTAGAATGTGTCGTAAAAATTTAGTACTGTGATATCGACTCCCGAGGTTGGCAGTATTCATACATATTGAGAAGGAAGTTGATATGAGGAAGGACTGAAAAAAGAATATTGATTTAGTCAGTGGAACTACGTTCTCATACTTAAATAAATAAAACCACAAGGACAATGTTACTAAAATTATAAAACGTAATGTTTGGATGTTTGTTTGATGGTATCCCCAGAACGGCTGTATAGATCTCGCTGACATTTTTCATAGAGGTAGAGCACAATTTGGAAGAATACATAGGCTACTAATTTTGTTTTTTTTTTCATTCCCCACGTACGGGATCTCTTTATAGTTGAAGTCGCAAAAGTAAGCTAGTACAATGTACTATCGTGGAATCTGGCGGTGTTTCACTTTAGAACTGAAGTTTGAAACCCGTGAGTATTGAAACAACTATGCCGAAACAATTTGAAACATAAACAAACACAACTCAATTTTTAAATCTGTCTATACGAAAAAGTTAGGTTACATTCTGAGACCAAAGACTGTGTATAAAATATATCGTCATCCCTGACATTATTTCTAACAAAACAGAGATAACAATATAATAAATAAGAATTTTGGTCGCAGAAAGTGCGTTTTACTATTATACCGTCGTTAGCGCAACTATTACTGAAATGATTCTTTTGTGTTATATGGGCGGAGTTTGTCTCGGTGTAAGGAATAAGGAAATTTCTGTAAGTGGAACATTGCGAAAGGCCCTGACTGTACATAGCGTTAAACTCTCTTGGTGAGTAAATATTCGATAAGTACACACATGTTATCTAAGCTATGCTAGCGATCTAGGTTAGATAACTAGAACTTTAGTCAAAGCTTTTGAACTTTGAAAGCTTAGCTAACGCGGTAATGACTTAAAGTGCGATTTAAGTAACTTTTCGTATTAGTATCCGGACTTCTTGTGATGTAATTAAACTTATAATAAAATAATTACTGAAATATTTTATTATCTTACTAATATTATAAATGCGAAAGTTTAGATGAATGTTTGTTAGCAGAACTCTCTCATCTCAAGATCTCAAGAACGACTGTGTCAGGTATATAGAAATAAAGATTTCGGTTACCGTGGGTAGATATTAATAAATCAGTTGATACGTGTCAGTTGTTTGATTCAACACCTCCTGTGTATTAAATTTGGCATAGTTGTAAAACATAATGTGGAAGAATACATAGGAATAAAAAATGAAAGTATGTACTATTTTATTGCACAATACCTGCTCTGGAGAGAAAATACCACCAAATTTAAATTCTCCTTGTAAGTTGTGAGATTACAAAATTGTGTTCACATTCTCATGGTGACATTATCGTTATTAGTGAGTTTATGAAATGACTAAGTTCGCAGACTAATGGTAGCATAGCTTTTTAAATTCTAAACTTATTTCAAAAGATTTTTGAAAAGTTATGTTGAAAAAAGAAAACGATATACAATAGAGGTTTTTACGACGGCATTAGTTTAGTTGTGCTATTGTGTTCACATATTATCTACGGAGCGGATCGATCATTTGGGGTTATAGGAGGTCCTTTGACTTTGATTATAAAGAAACGGACTCAGCAAAAAAGCGTTGTACAAAATTCTGTCAGTTTTCGCAGGAACTCAGGTAAGAATCTCAATGAATATCATGCTGGTATCTACAATCTTTATACTGCTTTAAATTCTGCATACTGATTCAAAACAAACAAGTAATTTGGGGATGTATTGTGCGTTTGTTGTCGGAGGAAAATGCACAGTGTGATTAGACAAAGTGCTTTCGCGCCGAAGCGATTATATAACTTCAAAAATGTATGGAGCTAACAATAACTTTCGATAAGTCACGCGATTTTGTAGTTCGCAATGGAATCGCTTCGAAGCGAATGTACTTTGTCTAAACTTGCTGGTCCTGTCTGTTAAAAGTCTGTGTGCGAATGTCTTTGTATTTGTCGCAAATACATAAAATTGCTTGTTCACAAAGGATAAGGTGACTTTTGTAAGTTCGTTGTTACCCAGTCGGACAATATAAAGGGAACATTTCAAATCAATTTATTATACCTCTTTTATATTAAAAATTGATTTTGAAGCATAAATCGTTTCTTCTACGCCTTCGTGGATTATGAAATTGTATTGTAAAGTTATTTAAGTTTTTTTGTAATGGAATCTGAAATTTATACGTTCGATTCATACAAAAATTTTAGTATTCATACTAAAAATATAGTTCTAAAGAGTGGTAGGAATCAGTTATGTGTGTTTATGTAGGGTGTTTTCACTGCCAAAAACTTGTATTAAAATATTTTGCTACACCAGATATTCCGTAGAGAGTAAGAGGCATTTTTAAACTTTTTTAATTCAAGAGAAGGCAAAAGAGCAGCGGATCACTTAATATATATTTTTTATAATATTAGATTTTTTTAATTTACTAATATTTATTGTACCATTACAACTATGATCTAAACTACGACATGGTTTACAACAGTCGGCAGGATTCGAACCCTCGACCTCGTGATCGGAAATCTGTACCCTTAACCATTAGGCTATTGGCGCTTCAAAAATTCATCTGACCATCAACAACTCCAGAGGTACTGTAGATGCGTGTCTGACCTTTTAGGGATGTCACTTTTCTTGCCACTAAGTCTTAATTCTTTAGAAATATTCCTGAGGAGAGAGGATTCATGCAATGTCATCATCATCATCAACCTGCCCTTATTCCTATCGAGGGTCGGCACAGTATGTACTATTGCTCCATACATCTCTATCAGCCGGTATATCTTTCACACAGTCATTCCATACTTTTTTTGGTCTTCCTCTACCCTTGTAGCCATCCACATTCAATCTCATTACTTTTTTGCTTATATCATCATCATCCCTCCGCATAACAAGTCCAAACCACACTAATCTTTTACTCCTCAATTTCTCGATCACTGGCGCTACTTTTAAACTTCCTCTAAAATACAAATTTTTAACTGTATCCTTTCTTGTCACACCACACATCCATCTTAGCATACGCATTTCAGCTACATGCAATCTTCTGCAATGTAGCTTACGGAAATCTCATCGTTGTGTTGAATTTGAGCCAATTCATATTAAATCATGCCATTGTGAGATACAAATTTGATAATTTTTTTATTAAGGGCTGTCAAAAAAATTATAAGTGTGCTTTTTAATTTATTTCAACCCTATTATGGTTGGCTTGAATATTATACGATTCTTACCTTACTTGCTTTGATAAAATTACATCGAAAATGTTCATGATATATGCTTTTTTTGAAGTACGTGTACTTGAGAGTTGCCAAGTCTCTGTTAAGTGAGGTCTGACCTTTTTGAGTATATTGAAGTCATTTCGCATGACGTGAATCAGGAAATATATGGATGGAATGACTTGGTTGATATTCAGTATTTTACTGTAGCACTTATAGATCCTGAGTTTAGATGTACAACTAAAGCTACACTAAGGAACGTTTAGTAGCTCTTTAACTACTCTAAGGATGGCAGTGTTTGTTGTAAAGTTTATTATTATGGTGAACGGTGCGATTAACAGGATTTTCGTGTTTGGTAAAACTGTTTTGCTTGTTCGAAGTCCATGTGGAGCACATTCGTCATCAACGCGTGGATGTCGCGTAGTCACCTCGGATACCTAGAACCTAATGTCACTTACACTAAACTGTTCAATAAGTAAAAAGTGTCAGTTTAATCAGGATCCTACCCTATTTTAGAAGTTAATAGGCCGGACTAGTTGAATTCTAACACATCTTATAGTCTTATCTTACTTCTTACTAATGTTATAAATGCGAATGTTTAAATGGATGTATTGCTATTTATTAGAACGTATCTCCAGAACAGCTCAACGGATGTCGATGAAATTTGGCATAGATGTAGAACATAGCCCGGAAGAACACATAGGCTACTTATTAAGTTTTTTTAAATTTCGCGTGGACAGAGTCACGGGTGACAGCTAGTTCCTTTTAATAACTTTATTGTAAGAATATTCTTGATAATTAACATGTTTGTTGTAGTGGAAGTGGAATCTGTACAAGGTCCGACTGGGGGTCGTGTGGAGTTACCATGTGACGTCAGCCCAGCGCTCGCCGCGGACCGTGTCGGTCTCGTCATCTGGTATAAACAGGGACATGAAACACCTATTTACTCGTAAGTAACGTATTTTTAAGGGCTGTAATATTTTATAAGATACCTTGAAGAGGCACTTCATGTTGATAGGGAAGTTGTAGTGCATTTAGCGCCCTGGGCGTTCGCCTAACTCCGGTACTGATACATATATAGTTCTAAATTATTACTAACATTGTGATGAGAATCACGGTAGGACATTTGTATTATGGGTTTTAGTTACATGTAGAAATAGGGTAAAAACTTAAGCAATGTTTCAATTTCATTTTAACTTACGTATATCATATGATTAATGAAATATAATTATGGAATGGCTACCGAAAATTGCAAGCATTTTTAATAGTACATGTTTAAGACATACTCCTTTATAACCACGTTGACGAACGTAATCAATCACCGGCGTTCAAAGGGTTAAGACACTTTAACTAAACAGTGTCTAAATGATTTTTTGGACAAATACTATGTCTATTAGTAAGTAATAATCTTTTGACCCACGATATTTTTATATAATAGTGTCTAATGTATACTAGCACTAAAAATATAAATATTTAAATTAGAAGTGCGAGTGCTGATTTGTATATATACAATGTTATCACAGAATCCACTTATGACCTTTCAAACCCTCATTACAGTATCCCTTCGCCCCTTGTTTACGCATCTCTTGTCGTATCCGTCTCATCAAAACTATGAAAGACCTTTGTCGTGACACAGGTAGGGGAATGTCTTTTTGACATAAAGGACGTTCACATGACCCGAGATTTTGAGACGCCGATATGCCACACAGAGACATTGTCTGTAAAATTTTAAAGATTACCTGACCGAATACTAGAAGCAAAAGATTTTTTAATTTAATTTTTAATCTAGATAGTGTATCGTATCGTCAAATTGTAACAATTATTTAAAAATGAGAGTATAGTCAAATAAGGATATCTGGCCCGCTTTTAGTTCTGACAGAAAATATATAAAACCTACATGGGCTATGACAATGGCACAAAATTAAAAAAAAAAACATGTCAGCTACAGTACGAAAATATACTTTTTAATATTGACAGGGGGGCGCTAGTGAGCTATCATAATAATAGTTTGATTTATACCCACCGGGTTGGGCATCTTTATCGATGTATAAGTCGCCTTGGCTTTAGTTAGATTTTTTTATAACATTGTACTCTTAAATGTAAGCTTTTCCTTTTTAATATGAGTCTAGCCAATATATAGTAACATTTAATTGTATTTTGTCAGGCTGGACGCAAGAGAAGGAATTTCATCGCAGTGGTCAGATCCGGCAACTCTGGGCAACCGAGCTACATTCAGAACTAACACCACGCCTGCTGTGCTCATGTTGACTAAACTAAGGTACATAGGATATGATATACGTGTTTAGTTAACTATAGTTAGCTTTGTGTTTTTTAATTTATGTTTATTTAAGTAAAAATTATGAAGAACCTAGGATTGTAATTTTTTTTGGTACACTATCGTTGCGTTTTATAAACATTTTAAAAGTTGAAATGACGAAAGGATCAACAGGATTTTAATTTTAAAAGACCAAATAGGTTTAGTCCAAGACCAAGTTTTTAATTGATGATAAATACTAAGATATTATAGGTAAGAGGAACAGAATACTTGACGTATACTAGATGTAATAATATATTCCTATTTGGTTTGTAATTTCAATCAATCAGATTATTAGGATTCTACAGGGAATACCTAATCTGTTACAATGTCTGAAGCATTGTTGCATATGACAGTTGATTTAATTACGTGTATATGTCAAGTATAGAACTAAGGCCCTTCGTACACAAGGTAACGTAAATCTTTGAAATCGAGACTTTAGTTACTACTAACAATGTTATAGAGGTTTATACAAAGCGTGTTGTTGACACTATCTACCATCGTCAAAGACAGTCAAGCAACCTACAGGGTTAGACAAAGTGCATTCGCTTAGAAGCGATTCCATAGCGAGCTTCAAAATTGTATGGAACTGACAATAACTTTCGGTAAGTCACGTGATTGTCGCTCGTTGGTTCTATACGTTTTGAAGTTCGCTATGGAATCGCTTCGAAGCGAATGCATTTTGTCTAACCCCTTGTCAAGGTAGTGAGAAAAGGCGCTGCAGTTATCAAGATAGCGCCGTAAATCTATACAGTTGACATAGTCACTATGTCTGTAGTACGAACAGACGATTTGCGTCGATGATTCAACGTTGTGTCGCGCGAAACGCTATTCTCGTGCTGCGACCAATAGTAGTTTCTACGATTTACGTTTCCTTGTGTAAGAAGGCCCTAAGCAGCATGTAGCATAAATGCAACATATAATATGTCAGCTCGCTTAGTGGAAATCTCACTTTAGACTAATTTGGTTCAAAATGTACGAATGTAATAATTTAATTTAATTTTTGTATTGTGTTTCGATTTTATTATTGTACGTTAAAATACTAGTGACATTGAAAGTGTTAAATTGTGCGACAATATTATTATACCTATAACTAGTATGGTCATAATTTTGCTATGAAGAAAATTAAGGGTCATTTCCACTGACATAATGTAAATATTTTTATTTCTACAGGCCAGAAGACAGCGGCCAGTACAGATGTCGAGTGGACTTCATAAAATCTCCAACAAAGAACACCAGATTGAACCTTACAGTGCTTAGTAGGTACTCTTTGTGGAATATTTTATTAAAATTCTTTGTTAACTTAAGTAGTGAATAAAGTATAGTTTACAACTTTAAGTAGGCATTGGACTATGTTTAAGTCCATCCGTGGCTGTTGTACCTTAGTTGGTAAGCTTTGAATTCAGTACATGTCAAAATAAAAAAAAACAAAACAGTTAAAACACATGGCAAACTTCAGATCGGGTCAATACCGAAAAAAGGTTAAATGTGATTCAAATTTTCCTTTTTAAGGATATCTTTATATTGAATAATTGTAACAAATCTTGTACTTTGCTTTACTAGTTGTGCCCGAGTTTGCGTGAAATATTATCTTCAGGTGGCATTTAAATTGTGTAAGCTTATTATTTCACTCAAACTTAATTGTAATGTAGTTATTTAAACATGCATCGATCGATATTCCTGATCTGTCGATATCAATGCGATATATCGATTTTTTTTTATCCTTATCAGGCACATCCCTAGCGGTTATACGGCGCTTTATAAAGGGCTCGTTACGATACAAAAAGAAAGCTTACGACATTGAGATGTTATCTGGACCGTACTTAATACCCTTTGAATATATTTAATATCATAAATAGATATATTCAAGATGTTTGTGTGGCAAATGTTACATTTGAAGTGACTGGATTTTTGGAGGAATTTTAGTGATGCCTTATACCGTGTAACTTTAAAAATAAAAAATAAAAAACAATATTCACTCAACTCAAAACAATGATTTCATTGATTAAGTATGTTAGTATGTTGGTGGCTCAGGGGTCAAGCACTTGACTTGCAATCTACAGGTCCGGGGTTCGAAACCCGCCTTGTACTAATGTGTTTTTCGATTTCCGATTTACATATGTACATTTATCCAACGTTCTTACGGTGAAGGAAAACGATGATGCAACCTGCACATATCTGAGAAGAAATTCAAAGATATGTGTGAAGTCAACCAACCCGCACTTGGCCAGCGTGGTTAACTTAGGGCCTTAACTTAGGGTTAGCTCCGAGACCCTCGGTGGGGAAGTATAGTGAGCTGATGATGATAAAGTATGTTAGTCCACTTCGCTATATTCTATTTACAAAGTTAAATCTTAATTGGTATTTAACCATGTCTCTTAAGTATTAGAAATCTACACTAAGAGTAGTAACTAATAAACTAGGTTCTTTAAGGAAATTCATAATGTTTCATTTTTCTTTTTGACAGTACCACCTGATAGGCTGATAGTATTGAACGAAAGCAATGATGAAGTCCACGGCAGTATACTAGGACCTTACGACGAGGGAGCTGAAGTGAACCTAACCTGTATAGCAGTCGGAGGTAAGATTTAAATGACATTATACGAGTATTATATAGACTGACAAGGATATCTGACATGGTGGTCATAAGTCAAACTAAATTATGATAGCACACTAGCGCCATCTTGTCAACAATAATCACAACGACCTTTACGTACTGCAACTTATTTATTTAATGCCATTTTCTATGCCCATGTTTAACATTTATTCTCACAGAATCGCAATAACAGCTTTCGTCAGGCCAGAAATCTTTGTTTGACTACAAAATTATCAATTTGAAAAAAATAAAGTGTTGCACATAGGTCTGCAAAATTTTGAATAATAAGAATAAAGAACAAAGCGATCGTTGATTTGAGATTAAAATCTCTGTATAAAACATATCGTCATCACTGTCATTATCTTTGACAAAACAGAGATAACAATATGTTTTAAATGGAGAGTTTGGACTCGAAAACCCACGGTGAATGAGGAGAGAAATGTTTTTTGCGATGTGTGGATGTCAATTCCAATGTGACCTTCGTTGCTTAACTGAAGTAATATTTACGAGTAGGGTGATATTCAATTCGTATCTTATGTTATTATTAGCTATTACCCTCGACTCCGATCGCACGTAGTCCTATGTGTTCTTGCGGACTCTGCATAGATGGCATAGATGCCAAGTTTCAGTGAGATCCATTCAGCCGTTTATATGGAAGAAAGGACTGTTAGGGTTGTCTGGCTAGATTTCTACGAAAATTTCAAGACCAAGATAAGATAGACTCGTTCAGCCGTTCTCGAGTTTTAGCGAGACTAACGAACAGCAATTGAGTTTTATATATATATATAAGATAATAGTAAGTTTTACGTATAACTTAAAGAAAACTAAATCGTTCATCAGTAAAGTTAGCGTTGGTACACGAGTCCAGTCAATTCCAACTTCTAAAACTAATACAAGTTGTGACACGCCCTCTCTTATTCAATCGATATCGCCACTTGTACCATTTCCCACGCCCTGTTCTCACATACGTAAGCAGTTTCAAAGTTCTTACGTTCATGTTACCGAACGTTTGTGAAATTTGTCAGTATACAATCGGTCTAAGTGTATCATGCTGTCGTTTAATGCTTGACCTATTTCTTCCCATTATACCTAGGTGAATTTTTTTGACAAAAATAAAGGCAAATTAAGTCGTTTTTAGTTTTAACTTTAATATTAAATGTAATCTGTGTATAATAACACATTACGCGTAAAGTTGTATAATCTTAAAATATATCTAGACCGATTTTAAATTGTCCAAGTTTACGATCGGTAGGTAACATAAATAATTTTACACATATTTCATGTTTCAAGTATTTTATACACGCAACTTGATAAATAACTTGAAAGTCTTTGAATACATTTCTTGTTTTCCTTTTATGGCATCGCTTTTATTTGTAACAACTTAAAAATTATAGGAAAGTGTATATTTAAGCCATATACAGTGTGTTCTAAAAATATATCCTGCCAGTATTTAAATTATTGGTTTTTCTACAAAATTAATATGTTTATAGCAAAAACTTTGATGCTTAAAGAGCATCGGTGGCTCAAGGGCCCTTGATTTGTTAATCTACAGGTCCTGGGTTTGAATCCCACCACGTACCAATGTTTTTCGATTTTCGATTTACATATGTACATTTATCCGACGTTATTACGATGAAGGAAAACAGCGTGATGACTCCGCATATCTGCGAAGAAATTCAAAGATAAGTGTGAAGTCAACCCGCATTGGGCCAGCGTGGTTGACTATGGCCTAGTCACTTAAATTACGGTAGGCTACGAGCCTATAAGTGGGGACGTAAAATGATGAATGTTTAGTTGTATAGATGGACGTTTGTTTTAAGGTATCTCCGAAGCGGCTTAACGGATCCTGATAAAATTTGGCATAGATGTGGAACATATTCTGCAAGAACACATAGGTTACTTATTAAGTTTTTTTTCGCGTGCACGGTGTCGCGGGCAACAGCTAGTTCACTATAATTTTTTTCTAGTGTTTGCATTATAAAAAATAATTTGTCAAATGTCCGTGGCATAAAGAGCCTCTCGTTATTGGCACATGTGATAAAGGTCGAGGAGAAAATAAAAAAAAAGAACTTTTGATTTGCTTTCGCAATAGTATAAAAGATGAAAAAGAAATGTAAATTAATTGGAATCTCGAATAGAAATACAAACTTTCTATATTAAAAAGCTTTTCTCGTTGATTGAGGTTTCAGAGAAATATATAAAATTTGTCTGAAAAATTGTTTTACAAATACTTTTTTATATTGAAAAAATATGAGTTTTTTTGACGTGTAATTTTTGGTCATTTAGGTATAACCTACTTTATTACCTCTACTTTTTAGGTATTCAAACATAACACAACACACCCTTCAAAAATAAAACATACTAAAATTAAATTAGACTTGATTGTATGAAAAATATTATATTATATAGTAAACCAACTCGCACTGGGCCAGCGTGGTTGACTATGTCCTAATCACCCGTAACATAGGGTAGGCTCCGAGCCCCTCAGTGGTGACGTATAGTAAGCTGATGAAGATGATATGAAAAATAACATTTAAAAAAATCTAAAACAAACAATATCGCATACCAGAGGAATTTCTCTTGCAAAAATACAAAAAACATATTTTATCTGTATCATTCTCTTTGAATAAAGAGAGACAATAATGTATTAATCTGTATTGTCGCAGTGGAAACTCACCTTAAAATAAATCTAATATATGTATGTATATAAAAATTATTTGCTGTTCGTTAGTCTCGCTAAAAACCGAGAAAGGCTGAACGGATTTATCTTGAACGGTCTTGAAATGTTAGTGGAAGTCTAGGGAAGGTATAAAAGGTGAGAAAAATTCTAACAATTGCCGGGAACTAAGTTTATTTTTCATTCCACGTGGACGGAGTCGCGGGCGACAGCTAGTTGTCTAATAAATTTGTCTCTACAGGTCGTCCAATAGCGAGGATATCGTGGTGGAAATCGCACGCTCTATTGGCTAATTCAGAATCCAGAGCATCTGTCTCCTTAACTTTGCATAGACCTGACTTTGGTACGGAGATTACTTGTCAGGTAACCCATTTTTTTTTATTTATAAGGTGTCAAACGAGTATTTGAAGTAATATCATTACCTTGTTACAGGCAGTGACAGATCCCTCGATACCGCCATTATCGCATAGACTATCCATCGATATGAACTGTAAGTATTATTTTGTGTAAATATAAAATAAATGTTGTAACTGCAACTGTCTTACTTTGGGAGGTATAGCAAATGGACTAAAGCAATTCCAGAGTTACGCGGATAGACACTAAAATCCAATTTCCACTTATCGGCTGACCGCACAACTGTAACCTCTTTTGTATAGAATCGCTAGTATTATTTCAATTGACGACAAAAATGAAGCTAAGTTTAGTGGAAATAGATCCTAAGGATAAAAAGGTTCGTGTCTTTATTAATTCATCAATTCTTTACAACAGTGCCACCATTATCTGTGCGCATACAAGGAGGGAAACGACCCTTGGTTGCCGGTCAAACTTCAGAGTTGTCCTGCCAAGTGGTGGGGGCTAGACCCAAACCGGTAATAACTTGGTGGAAGGGAGGCACTAAGTTAAACACTGTTAGGGATACTGTGAGTAATAAATATTTTTTAATAATAAATTAAAAAAAATATAGTAAGAAAAAAAATAATCTCTCGCATGGCTTTGAAATACGTTGTGAAGGTACAGGGTGGTTAAGAAGAGGTTTTTTTATTTATTAAAAAGATACATTAAGCTTTTGTGGTTAATTATTGAAAGTATAAAAGAAAAGAATGTTAGTAGGAAAATAAATGTGATAAAATGTGAATTTTTCGCACCAACTTTAGAAATGATTTTGCTATATATTTTTTTAATGTAAGAAATAACTTTAGGGTTATTTTATAACTGTAAATGTGATGTAATAATCCCAATGGTTAGATAAATAATTTTTATGTATTGTAACTAGACTTGGCGTTAGGCCAAAATCTAGGTATTTGGAACGACACGTAAAATACGAAAGAATGTCGTAGTTGAGTGGGTCAAAGTGATTTTTCGTAATAAGTTTTGTATTATTTTTCAACTTAAAACATTTTTAATATTCAATTTACATTTTTAAAATGACTGACTATTCAATTTTTTAGACATCAATGGACGGTAACATTACGGTAAGCGTACTTACCTTTGTCCCGGCGATCGAGGATGCAGGTAGAGTGTTGTCTTGTAGAGCAACTCAGCCTGCAGTGTCACACACAACACGGGAGGATGGCTGGAAGTTAGAAATACAACGTAAGTTAAAAATCATACTAATATTATAAATGCGAACGTTTAGATAGATAGATGGATGTTTGTTAGATCGTATCGTCTGAACGGCTTAACGGATCTTGATGAAATTTGGCACAGATGTCAAACATAGTCTGGAAGAAAACATTAGCTACTATTTTTTTTTAATTAAGCGTGGACTGAGTCGTGGCATCAGCTAGAACACTTTGTAAAGATGACAGTTATTTAGTTTTTCACACACACAGTGAAGACAGGCGTGAAGTGGAAGCAATTCCGCGTTTCGTCTGATGAGTGTGCGTCCCGGAGGCCTAATTTAGTCCTCTTTCCCTCCCCACCCTTTTTCTTATAAGGACAGTATGAGAGGTGGAAGTGGACTTTCCGGATGAGAGGATGCATGTAAAGGGAAAATATTATTTTTCTGTGCATCCTCTCCTCCGTTGATTAAAGGCAGGCAACGCATATGCAATTGCGTATGTCTACGGGCAACGATCACTTCGCTATTTCAGCGATTTCAGGTGGTCGCTCGCTCGTTTGCCATCTTGTATTATAAAAAAAACAGTTGGTTCACACAAAAAATAAACAAACATTAATTGGGTCAAAGTATAACTAAATATATGAATACTAATTTATGTAAGAGTTTTAATTTAAAAAAGCCGAGCATAATGTTCATTATTAGATCGTCTGTTCTTAGTCAAGATAAGCTGAATTGCCAATTTTACAGATATTAAGGTTAGTCGGTCCGCTGGGATCTGACTTTTAATCGGTTATTTAATGCGCTAGAATAGATACTAAATTAGAAAATGTATTTAGGATAATGAATGTTAAATTAGGTTTGGAAAGTCTAGTTTTACGCGTATTTATGTAACAGACACAGAAAAATGTTTCAAAATAGTTTTAACATTAATCTTACTGATATTATAAATGCGAGAGTTTAGATGGATGGATGTTTCAAGGTATCTTCAGAACGGCTAAACTGATCTGGATAAAATTTGGCATACATATAGAACATAGTCTGGAAGAACACATAGGCTACTAGTTATATGTTTTTTTTTAAATTCTGCGCGGATGGAGTCGAGGGCGACAGTTAGTAATATAATTTTGATAAAACAAAAAAGTGGGATGAAAGTATTTATAATAATCAGCTAATTTCGGCTCTGTTAATTCCCTGATAAAAATAATTTATTTTTTTAAATATTCGTTTATTACAATGTATAATTGGTTACAGATTTACCCGTTGTTACTTTGAAGTTTGGAGCAAATATTGATGCGAACAAAGTAATAGAAGGATCGGATATTTATTTGGATTGTAGAGTTCGAGCTAATCCGTGGTACAGCAATGTGCATTTTACTCGTAACGTAAGTATTTTGTTTCTCAAGGGGGTTACCGTTTACATTTAGCCTGAAGTAAAATAGCCTACAAAAGTCGTATAACAAAAATACAATCGTGAATTTTTGCTTGCTAATATGTGTAGTTTTGTTAGGATGTTTTTTAAACCTACGTGAATACGTTATTTCCTGTGAGGTATAACGTAAGTATAGGTAACGTATAGGCTGAAATCTATCTTCTAACTAATATTATAAATGCGAATGTCTAGATGAAATTTGGCATAAATATAGAACATAGTCTGGAAGAACACGTAGGCTACTTATAATTTTTTTTAAATGCGCGCGAAATTTAGGTGTCATTCGATTCCTACTCATTTCCGTAGTATCAAACATTTTGTTTGACAATCAAGTCAATCGGATTCATTTTTTTTAATAAAAAACTGCTAACTTAATGCAGACCTAAATAGTGTATAAATCTTCAGTAATAAATGTTTCTCTATTGTTTTTTTTTTAATATCTAAACTTATATTGTATCCAATATATTAGATATCTTTTTGTTTGTCCCTAGGGTTTAACAGTGAAGGCTGGACCAGGTGTACTGCTAGCTAACCAGAGCCTTGTGTTACAACATGTTTCGCGGCAAGCGGCTGGAGCTTACGTGTGTGCGGCAACTAATGCTCTAGGGGACGGAATGAGTACACCCTTATTGTTGGATGTGAAATGTGAGTTAGTCAAAATTTATTATCATCTCTTTAAGTACAAAAAGTTTTGAAGCAAATGTTTTTAGTGTCTTGAAACAAAGTTACAGCTTTAGTGACTCAGGGGTTAAGCACTTGACTTGCAATCTACAGGTCCTGGGTTCGAATCCCGCTGTGTACCGATGTTTTTCGATTTCCGATTTGAATATGTTCATTTAGCCAATGTTCTGACGGTGAAGGGAAACATCGTAATGCTGCATATATCTGACAAAAAATTCAAAGATATGTATGAAGTCAACCAGCACTGGGCCAGCGTGGTTGACTATGGCCTAGATGCTACTTAGGGTAGGCTCTGAGCCCCTCAGTGGGAACGTCTAGTGAGCTGGTGATGAACAAAGATATGTTTTTTTTTAAATTTAATCTTGTCAATCAATCTCTTGCCAGTTTCTCAGTTTTAATGACAGTTTGTTATTGATAGAAATATTTTCACCAGACGCGCCGAGCTGCAAATCAGAGCAGACGATCAATATACGAGCGGCGAGGGGGGAGGTGCTCGAGATACAATGCGATGTCGACTCTAATCCTAAAGTAAGAGAGTATATTATTGCGTGTACAATCTTCAGTGGTTGTTTATTCGATTTTCGTAATTTAATATATATTTCATAAATTATTTTAGTGAAAGAAAGAATAAGATTTGAATTGAAAATGTTTTTAAATAGGTGATTTCTATTGCGCGAATCGGTCTACAGATGAATCGGCCCTATGGGAATTATTTTCAAAGACTAAATGATTCTATGGATTCAACATTAAATAAAATATTTTTGAACTGTAAACCGATCGTTTTTAGATAGGCGCAAAGAATTGGGGCACTATTTATTTGTATAACCTATATTCTTTCGAAATGTTTCATTTTCATATTCATACATAATTATTTCAAAGCAAATTACTCTACCTTATAAGGCAGACAAAGGAGGTAATATTGCAAAACAGAATCGACTTAAAATAATATTGCGCTGTAGAATTTTGGCACGAAATAGAGAATTATTAATTACGTAGTCCATTTGAATAAATAAAAAGGATTACATTGCCTGATATAGAACAAAAAGTTTGCAAATCTAAAGTCAGTTGATATTATGAAACTATTTTTTGAATCTAAGGAGTCAATCGGCCCAATGGGAAAAAACCCATTGATTCCATTGACGAGATATCCGTTGGGCCTTACGAGAATTTTTTCCATCGCTTCAGTTGATTCTATAAAATATTTTTTTGATTCTGTAGAGTCAATCGGCCCAATAGTACAAAAATCCTATCGCTCGGTTATCCGAGCGGCTCAACAAGGATTCTTTCCCATCGCACAATTGATTCAATGAAATTATTTTCTGATTCTATACGGTCAATCGGCCTAATAGGACAAAAAAATCCCATTGATCCGATTGATCGGTAAGTCTATCGGCCCAACGGGAAACATGCAATAAAATTACTTTCTAGATTAGCATATGTAACATATGGTTGAGGAAAAGTGACAAAAATTACGTTACCACGTAAGTAGAGATAAAGATATGATGAATGATCGGAAAAATGATATAATAATAGTCTATGTAGTGCGGGTAAGGAATAAGGAAGATTGAGTACGGATAGAGACGACGATCTAACCTCGTAGTGATGGATTGGCGAAGGGAAACTATTTGTAAGCTTTTGTTTACAATATTTTAAAATAAGGTCTTTTAAAATTTCTTACAATACAGTTTTAGTGGTGACATAAATTACAGGTCATGAAATTAAATAATAACATAGTATATCTTAATAAGGAGCGTCGGTGGCTCAGTGGTCAAGCACTTGACATGCAATCTGCAAGTCCTGGGTTCGAATCCCGCCATTTACCAATGTGTTTTTCGATTTCCGATTTACATATGTACAATTATCCGACGTTCTTACGGTGAAGGGAAACATCGTGATGCAACCAGCACGTATCTGAGAAGTAATTCAAAGATATGTGTGAAGTCAACCAACCCGCACTTGGCCAGCGTGGTTGACTATGGCCTAATCACCCTTAACTTAGGATTGGCTCAGAGCCCCTCGGTGGGGACGTATAGTGAGCTGATGATGATCTTAATAATATTATAAATGCCAAAGTTTGGATGGTTGTTTGTTTGAAGGTATCTTTGGAACAGCTCGACTGATTTTAATGAAATTTCGCACAGATGTGGAACATAGTTTGGAAGAACACCTAGGCTACTTATTACGTTTCTAAAATTCCTCGCGGTAAGAGTCGCGCATAACGAAAGTAATTTTATCTACCAATTAATTTGGTTAAAGAAAGATGGATACACAAATTGAATTCAGTCAAAAAAATCCTCAAAGCTATATAGCTTTCTGGATAAGACATGATTTTATTTTGTTTTTTAAATGACGCGAGGTTACCGATGTGATGTGGTCCGTTAGGCGGTTGTAGACAAGCTCTATGACGTGCGGAGACTTTCGTATTACAGCTATGTTTTTTAAATTCACTGTAAGGTTATATTATTTGGAAAATATAATATGTTTTGCATTATATAGTACGTTTCGCGTTCGCAATAATGTTCATGGATACGCGTCATATTGTGACGGCATAGCTATGAAATCAAAAAACATGTGAGGAACGCAGACATTTTTAAAATAAAATTCATTTCTCATCTCGATTTTCCATGTGATAAAATAATATCAGTTTAACATAAAAGGTTGAATTTAAAAATATTTTTCTTTTTTTTTATTTAATTAATATGTTTCTTAATAGGTGCCAGTAACATATCAATGGTGGTTCAACAGTACTACACATAGCCGACGAGAATTGAAAACTTCAACACAAGTACAGAAAGGAGGTGAGTAAATGTGTATTGAAACTTTTCACTTTTTTCTTCTGTAAAATCTGTTATCTCTGTTTTATTCATAGGGAATGACAAGGATGGTATATTATTGGACAGTCAGAGACGTTTATATACTCATTTTGGTGAAATATTTGACACATACACAATTCAATAAACACTTTTCTACTGCAGTGACACTAGCTTTTATACATATTGTTGTTTCTGTTACGTCAAAAGAAATGATAGAGACGACAATATAATAGTCACGGAAGTTCTTGGATTATACTGATAGTTCGCTGTACAGTCAGCTGCATAAATGTATGATTCACAAAGCCTTAGAAACTTGTAGTCAAAAAATATGTTCGCACATATCCATCCTTAGACTTCTAATTATTTTTATTTTATTTATAAATGAATTAAAAGAAATTAATTATGAATACTTGATATTGGTGAAGTGCTTACGTATTTTTAAAACCGAATGCGTTTACAAGTTTCTGAAGTTTATATGTTTACATTTATGCAGTTGACTGTACAATATTGGGATCCTAATTGGGAAGAGAATTTAATTCTTTAACTGTACGTTTTTTAAAAATATTCATAAAGATTTTATGTTATATAGTTTATTTAATTAACAGTTACGTGATATCTTTGCTTTAAGTTTCTTTCACGGAAAATATTACATTTAGCAGTTGTACTGCCTTCAACTGTTATGTAACTCACTGCAGTGACCCCAATACATGTATCACGTAAAAAAGTCAATGCCTCACAACTTGATAAAGATACTCTTTCCTTATGTAGATAACTTACGAATATATACTATTGCATATTATTTCTGATTATATTATTTGGGATGTCTAAAATAAGTTATTCTGTTAGGTCCAAAATAACTTAGGATATGTTTATGAAAGAGCTTTCTTTTTATTATAATATTTCTGTTAATTTATAGAGGTTGTTTATGAAAGATATAATTAAAAAAACTTAATATACAGTCAAACTTGTATAAGCAAGAGTTTAAGGGACCGCTATATTTTTTTGCTCTAAAGATTCTCTCTAACCCTAGTTACTCACTAATCCAGGTTTGCCTGTATTATATTCCTTAAAGTTATAAAGAATTTAGACATCTCTTGAGTCTTCTATGTTACTTATAGCTAGTGAAAACCGACTCTTATCGTGTATTTAAATACTTTTATTTCTTTATTTTAATTCTAATTAAGCATTGGTTTTTTTTCTACCAGGTACATATTCGTATACGATAAATTCGTCGTCGGATTATGGTTGGTTGCAATGCCTTGCATCTAATACGGTTGGATCACAGACAAAACCATGTGTTTATCATATACTACCAGCAGGTAACATGTTTTAAAAATAATAGTACTAATAGATTTACAAGAGTAATAAATTATTTAGAAAAAGAAGCCAATCAGGCTTTTTTCCCTCTTTTTTGACTACGAATATATCTTTGAATTTTCTCAGATATGTGCAGGTATCCCGATGTTTTCCTTCACCGTAAGAAAGTAAGATAAATGTACATATGTAAATCTAAAATCATAAAACTCATTACGTGTTGGGATTCGAACTCAGGTCAAATCAATGATTAACCCCTGAGCCACCGACGCGTACAAAATATTTGATGGAATGCATTTCGTATTTCTACGAGGATTTGACCTACATATGAACATCTCAATCGATAAATAACATACGAATGTTACTTTAAACGTATTTCAGATTTCTTTGGAAATGTTTTAGACATGACAAATGTTTTCCGTTCTAAATTATATTGATTGTTTGTAGAGAGGCCGAGTACAGTGAGGCATTGCGATGTTAAAAATATTACTTATGACTCCCTAATAATAACCTGCGCGCCCGGACATGACGGCGGATTGCGACAGACTTTTGTTTTAGAGGTAAGTTACCCATCGTTTGTGAACATTGATATTTAGCAATTGGTCTAGAAAATAAAATAAATATTGACAATTATTCATTTAAATCGTGTTATTTTTATTTGTTAAAAATATAGTTTGATAATTTGAGATATAAAAAAATAAATGTAATTTAAAATTTGCATTAATATGATCTCTAACATGCCTTAGAGTGGATAAATATGAGAAATTTACACTAAGGGAACTGCTAAAGTAAGTTACTCAAGTTACAGTTGCTCACTCTGTGTACGATAGTTAGTATTATTACCACTAAAAAATAACGATATTTTGTATACAACTGAATTCCAATAACGTCGAATTTAAAACTTCGAAATTGCTTAACTTTGGTTTACCTTGTATTCTATACATGAATACACTCCATATAACGTCAGACACACTCTATATAACGTCGACAATTATTAACCAATAATTTTAAATTACAAGTTGGTGAAATCAACAAAAAATCTCGATTTTATGTTTTAACATAATCATATGTTAATAATAACTTTATTTTAGGTGTTCGATAAAGCAACAGGTGTATTATTACGCAATATAAGTAACGAGGAATCAAATTTCGAAGTCCCAGGTTTGAGTTCCACTGAGATATCAATTGCTATACGTTCGTATAATGCGAAAGGTTCAAGTGACGCGTTTACTTTGACTTGTAGTCTCCTACAGTACCCGGAACGGAGAACAGGTTGGTTATCTTACTAATCATACTAGTATTATAAATGCGAAAGTTTAGATGGATGTATGGATAGAAGGTATCTCCAGAACAGCTTTACGGATTTTGATGAAATTTGGTATAGATGTAGAACTTAGTCTGAAAGAAACATACGTTATTTATTAAGATTTTTTATTTCCGCCCGGAGGTTCATGGGCGACAGCTTGTTTATAATAAACTAGCTGTCGCCCGCGACTCCGTCCGCGTGGATATAAAAAACTTAATTAGTGTAGCCCACCCATCCATCCACATCACATCATTCTAAACATTCGCATAAATTCGAAAACAATGAATAAATAGTATCCTACGTCTATTTTCTGGCTCTAAGCTACCTCCTCACCAAATTTCAGCCATATTGGTAAAGCCGTTCTTGAGTTATAAATAGTGTAATTAACACGACTTTCTTTTATATATATAGAAGTCGGTAAATTGGTAAAATAAAAATGTGTTAAATGTTTTTTTTAAAGTGATAATTGGGTGTGTTTAAAGGTCAAGTTCCAGTGAAGGTTGAGTTGACGACTCTGCTAATAACAGTTTTGATAGCTGTGGCAATTATAACAATAATGGCGACCCTATCTGCTGCTGTCTGTTATTGTAAATACTGCAATCAAAGAGAAGGTAAGATAACTTGTTAGTGGACGTTTTTATGGAGTTCAATTTTATTTTTTAATAATTGGACAGTTGTGGTCATCTGCTTTTTATTACGTATGAGTTTCTATTTGCGGTTTGTTTGTGTCGTTAAAACTCGAGAACGGCTGAACGGATTTATCTTATCTTAATATTTAAATGTTGGTGTAGGTCTAGGGAAGGTTTAAAAGGTGAGAAATATTCGAATAATTGCTGGGAACTATAATAATTTTTTTTTTCATATTGACGGGCGACAGCTAGTGTCGTTATAAAATTCTGTTTTAAAACTTAACTGCCATTTAGGTAGGTTTTTCGTAATTGGTGTCGAATCACTAATAGCCTAATGGTTAAGTGTACGGATTTCCGATCAGATGGTGAGGTCGAGAGTTCGAATCCCACATCACGACTATTGTTGTAAACTCATAAGAAAAGTCTAGAGTTTAGTTGCAATGGTACATTAAATATTAACGAAAATCTGCTAATATTAAAAAAAATATTGAAGAGAAAATGGTAATAGTCTTTGTCTACTTCAGTATTAAACGTTTATAAATAATTTAAATGACTGCTATTGACTCTGCTAACATTCTTTTGGTATGTTTTGTTATACTCAATTAAGCATTGTTTATGATCTATTGAGGTTTTAAAATAACTACAATATTGTTTCTTGTTAGGTACAGAACATGGAAAGAAGAACAAAAGAACTCGCGAGGAAAGTTCAGATGTTTTACTGACGAGTGAAAAGAAAACTGAAAGTGCTGATAGTCTAGGTAAGACTACAAATTAGTATTATATATAATACAATTATACATATATACAAATAATACCAAATAAATTAATAAAAAAAATCTTGATTTGCAAGATTTTAAAGTAGATTAGATTTGTGTTCACAATTGAGAAGAGATGTAGTTAACCTTTTCGCAGCCAGAAATCAGAACAGATGTGTTTTGTAAGCCAATATTTTTTTGAGATTTTAAAATAAAAACATGCTTTAGTTAACCTTTTTTATTGTTTATATATTTCAGTAAACTTTTAAGTTTGATAATTAAATTTAGCAAAATATATTGATTATTATGTTATTTCATGTTCTTGGTCTTTTATATAAGACGATGGCCTACACAGCTTGTTTTGTATAGAAGACTATGGCCTCGAAAGGGTTAAAGATTAATTTAGGTATTGGCTTTATTACCTTTTTTACAGATAAAAATCCCGATATAATACCATTAAACACCAAATTAAGTGACAGTTGTTCAAATAAATCGTCAGCCACAGATTATAGTTCCGTCAGACCCTTAATATCGACAACCAACTTAGAAGAATTCGAAGTACCAACCCGTTTCAGTGGCCAACATCCGATGTCTTACCAATTCGAACACCCATTAAAATATAGAGTACCAAACTTCCAACCAAACTTGGCACCAATGCCAAACATTGGAACAAATGTTTATAGACACCATCATAATGTGTATGAAGATTGGTTGAGATATAAAAACGCGTTACCTTTAGATAGTAGTCATTTGGTAAGTTATTTATTTACAGTATTAAACAACAATTAAATAAGTGTAAGTTTGTTTTTATATCATCAAGCATCATCAGCAAACGAGCGAGCGGCCATCTAAAATCACTAAATTAGCATTTCGTCTGATGAGTGTGGTACCGCGGAGGCCTAATTTTAGTCTCATTTTTCTTCCTACTATTTTTTATAAGTGAAGGATGAGAAGTGGAAGTGGATTTTCCGGATGAGGAGATGCTCGGGGAGGGAAAATATTATTTTACTTTGCACCCCCTCCTCCGTCGATTAAAGGTAGGCAACGCATCTGCAATTGCGTATGTCTATGGGCAACGGTCACTACACTATTTCAGCGATTTCAGGTGGCCGCTTGCTCGTTTGCCACCTTATGATAAAAAAAAACCAATGTGATGCAATCTGCACATATATACGAAAAAAATGTTAAGTCAATCCGCAATTTGCCAGGTTGACGAAGGTCTAGTCACATTGTGATTCGTGTCCCTCTGTGGTCACTTCTTTGACTGACTGTTTTTTTCAGTTACCATTGGAACAATTACGACCACCAGACGAGTATTTACCTCCACCTGTGCTCAGCGATCTCTATCGGAATCCAATACCACAATACCCACAGGGAACCCATTTCCAAGAATTAGACCATGGATATCACAATGATAATAGACAAATGTCAAGTCAAATTAACTCTGAATCGCCTTCAGTACGTGTACATTCAGAAAATAATAGCGCGTATTTTAATAAGTTTGGTACAACTAGTACATTGCCTAGATTGAAAGGTATGTATGTTTTATATATTTTATTTATATAGCGGACCCGACAGACGTTGTCCTGTCTACACGTCTTTAATTCGAATATTATTTAAAATTTGACACTGCGATGGTAGTGCCGTCTGTCGGATCCAATGTAAAACATTCCAAAATCAACAACTACTAATAAATTAAAAATTAATTAAAAAAACATTGTCCAGCGGACAAAATTGTGAATCTAAACCATTCCCAGGTCCCCTTGAACACACACAAAAAATTTCATCAAAATCGGTCCAGTCGTTTGAGAGAAGTTCAGTGACATACACACGCACAGAAGAATTATATATATAAAGATAACCAGGGTACAATATACATAATGAAGTGTCTATAAACTCTTCTCTATAAAATTTGGTTCTGCACTGTGGAATGTAACAGTGATAAATTTAGATTTTTTTTTACAGCAAATTAGTGAGATAGCTCGTACTGTCATATACAGGGTGCACATATGCGTTATAATTTTATTAGAATTTTTTATGTTTATGATATAAAACATACATACAAAGATCAGTTTAATCTATTTTATATAAGTACGGGTTTTTATATACTGAATAAGCTAGCACTAGAACACGATCCTACTTACATATACTACCAATTTTTTTAATTTTGTCTTTCTCCGTCCGAAAGGCGCGTTTGTTTCGGTTAATCCAGACCGATTGACGGGGCAAATTATAGGCAACTTTTTAAAGTTTTGCGCTGATGAAATCGCTTGTGAATAATTAAAATAAACATATCGAAGAATAAAACAAAATATAACACTAATAATCTATGTAATACATTTTAATATACTAAAGAGTAAGCACTATTATGTCTTTGTGACGTCAATTCCTACTTATAATTATTACGTTTTCAGTGATGCCAACCAACCTTCCAAAGGAGAAAATAGAAGCACCAAAATCTACAGAGACTGAAATGAATAGTCGAGAAAATTAAGAATTTATTATGATAAATATATCAGCAATAGAAAGATTAAATTTCCACTAAGCTACGCGCCGCGCGACTCTGACCGTATGTGCGTTTCCACTGGCGCTGGATTCGTGCGATTAAAATAACGTAAAATTGTAAATATGTTTATTTATAAGAAATAATTAAATTTAATATCTGTTGTGTATAATAAATATTAATTAAAATATTGAATTTTTATATTAATTATGTTGTTTTATTTTTTATTATCTAAAATAACAAAGCATTAGTTTTACACCTTACATCTTACTAATATTAAAAATTCGAATGTTTAGATGGATGTTTGTTTGAAGATATCTCCAAAACGGGTGAACGGATCTCAATGAGATTTGACATGGATGTAGAACATAGTCTGGAATAACAAATGGGCTTTCGGACGGATTCGCAGGTGACATCTAGTTTCCAATAAATGTACTAACTAACAAGAAGCAGATGTACATAAAAATACTACTCTGCTTCCGCTGGTTTCATGTGCGTCGTTATCCGCTCTGCCCGTAGCGCCGCTACCTTCCATCGTTTTCATGTTGCAGCCTGATAAATACTTGATATTATTATATTATTGAAAATATACACTTCAAAACACTATTCCGTTCCATTAAGTGCGTCCTTAGCCTAACGTCTGCTATTTTTGCAATCGCGCCAGTGGAAATAGTATAAATATTTATCATAGAAATAATAGTCGCATGCGGTTAGGCGCACGATTGAAGATTTGGTTATTTTCAATTTAACTAATCGTATTATACATATAAAGTACGAATTGGTAGAAATTATATAAATTAAAATTATTATTAATTCTAGTTGTGGCATTGTTAACCGCAATTGTTATATTTCGGTGCCCCTTGCTCTATAATCTAACACACAAATTGGTTTCATTTGCCTCATTGTTTGAAGAGGTATAATTGTTTTGGTCGTGTTCAATTAAATTTATAACTATGTCAACGTTCCAAATAGTTAAACATTATTTGAACCATGTTTTTGTGTCGATTATATTGTAAAATTTAAGTTATAAATTATTTAGATATAAGAACCACAGAAGATATTTAATCAAATTAAATTATAATAACTCACTAGTGTCACTGTAAATCAAAAAGTGTCATGAGATTATTTTCGTAAGTAACTGTCATGACATGGTTTTCTCTTATGTCACTAACTGTCCGTACGGTATAAAAAAACTTAATTAGTCCATATGTATATATTCCTTCAGACTATGTTCTACATCTATACCAAATTTCAGCGAGATCCATCCAACCATTCTGAAGATAACTTCTAACAAACATCCATCAAATTTTCTCGTTTATTATGTTATACATATTTTCTGACAGAACAACGCCTCTCTCATGTTTATATATACACTATGATACTAAAATACTTGCGCAGTAACTTAGACGAAGTAGGGTCGGGTCACTAGTTAACCGGATAAGGAAGTACTACAATCACACTTTATAGATCTCTCAATTAATGGATGCGGGCAACATAATTATATTAAATGAAGATATCCACTTACCCACATATAACACGTGTGCGAATAACGGTAAATTAAAATAGTCGTAAAAATTAAGTGGAAAATATATCTTATTTAGTAATATTATAAATGCGAATGTTTGGATGGATGTTTGTTTGAACGTATCTCCAGAACGGCTTAAAGAATCTCGATGAAATTTGGCACAGATATAGAACATAATCTGAAAGAACATATAGGTTACTTGTTAAGTTTTTTTTTTAATTCCACAGAGACTAGCGCAGGCAAGAGCTAGTATTGAATAAATGGTCTGGTATTGAACAAATTATTATTAAAATTATTCAAAATATTTTTCTTTTCAGATAACTTTATAGGTTTGAATATTGCCTTCGACCTCTGATATTTAAATTTTAAATAAATAAAACGTAAGCGAGCTGTTTCCATTACGAGATACTTTTAAAAAGCGATTTATTTCTCGTTAACGTATACGAAAAGCGCGTTAAGGGATTCCAAATTATTTTATACAGAACAATTATTTTACAAATAAATACAAAAATATTTTGGACTTCTATAATTTGTTATTATACCAGCTATCACCCGCGACTTCGTCCGCGCGGTTTAAAAAAATTTTAATTAGTGGCCTATTTGTTCTTCCAGAGTATGTTCTACATCTATGCCAAACAGATATATCCATGCAGTCGTTCTGGATATACCTTTAGACAAACATCCATCCATCCATCCAAATATTAGATTTGTTAGATAGTAAAGATATGCGTCGATGGCTACACCAAAATGGCAAAAATCAAATGGTCACAAAATAATACAACTTATAGCCATTCTATTTATACACGAATGAATGAAATTGTGTTATTTCTTTTGTTAAGGAAAACAGTTGAATAATTTAATCTTTAGTCGGAGCACGTAGCGTGATGATCACAAAGAGTTCTCTTACCTATTTACTTAACTACTACACGGATTTATTCAATGTACGCAATGTTTTAAAGCCTTTTTCAGGACTACACTGGAGTATATGACATTTATAGAGCCTCGTAGACAACAGATCGCCAGATTCCATCCACACCACCTGGATGGCTGGCATTCCACAACGGTGCGATTCTCGGGCAATTTCTTGCCTTGTGGAACGGTCTGTCCTCGGCGGTATTTCCAGACCAATACGACTTAGGGACCTTCAAGAAGCGAGCATACCATTTCCTTAAAGGCGGGCAACGCATCTGCAGTTCCTCTGGTGTTGCAGATGTTCATGAGGGTCGTTGATCATCCCGCCGCTCGTTTGCCCCCTCCTCTTATAAAAAAGCCTGTACAGGACAGGTTAACCTTTGATACCCAGATTTCATTTTAAATATCGAAATAAGTATTGGCTTTTGTCAGATGAATAAGGAAAGTTGAAGGAAATTTATGGTGCAAGTGTACGGCAGTGTCGGTCTGGACCGTACCAGCTGGAAGGTTACACTCCAGATCTACTCAAAAAGGTCGGTATTAATAGCATCCGAAACCAAAGTGTATGTATAGGTAGATGTATGAATGTAGAAGTGTGTGAGGTCAGGATCACGACAAATGGATGTCCCTTGTCTCTGCATACCTCTCTGGGTTAGAGGTGTAAGTTATGTACTTTGTTATCTTATATTCCATGTATATATATATAATTGGAATTTAAAAAAAAAATACCGAGCAAAACTCGGTCATCCATATTTTTGTTGTTTAAATCAGATTAAATTACAAAGAATTATGTTAGAAATATTGTAGGATATTTTAAAATTGATCTGAGATAAAAATCTATTATATCTGACTTGTATCTGTTCGACCATAAGCTAAGGACTATTTAAATAAAATGGGAATAAAACTTTAATTTAAATGAGATAATTTTATATTGTGCCTAGACTATAGAGTTGAGTTTTAAGATAAATTCAGGGTAATGTTAATTCTATTTAGTTTGTACATAACTACTAGCCACTATTGTAATAATAGTTATGAAAACACATTTAGTTTTCAACACTAAATACCATTTGCTCGTTAACAAAGTTGAAAAGGGGGAAAAAAGTAATTGGGTCGGCTCCCGCAAACGTAATTCATCTCTTTTATTTAGCTTGCATTCAGTGCTGGCGAGGAAAAATCGCTAGACGGCACGCAGTTTAAAAAAAATCCATTTTTAAATTGAATAATTAAGAAAGCTATAATAAGTTGTTATTATTCTGTACATATATAATAAATAAAATTGGCGTGTCTGTTTGTAATATCAAAATAACAGTTTTTACATGTAATAATATTTTTATAATTTAACAAAATCTGTCTGTTCACACATAGCTGATGTAATAAGGAGTAACTTAGGCTACGTTTATTTTAGAAAAAATGTTGCAATGTCCAAGTACTGTCCAGTACCACGCGCAGTTTAAAGTATTTCACGCGGACGAAGTCGCGGGCACAGCTACTGTATAAGATATTTTAGTAGTCCGAACAATTTTGTTAGACGCTAACGCGAACGTCTGTTGCACAAATGGACCGGCTCGACCAAAGGACCACGACTACACAGAAGACTGGCGTCAATTGATAGCGGTCCTGTTCAGTGTGACAAGTATGGTGCTCTAGGCTTATGGGAAGTGGATAGAGGAGACGCTTAATAAGGGGAAATATTCTCTTTTTCTGCGTCCCAGCTTCTGTCTATTTAAGGTTTTTTAAAGAGGGAAAAATGCCTTGATGCACCTTTAAGAATAAAAACAATATAACTTATTAAGCCTATTCCATTCATTCAGAAGTAAAGGATAATTATTAATAAAAGGCGAGAGACGGTTGCCGTTTAGACTCGGTTTATGGAGCAAATGAAACAGTGCCTTTATTATATACTAATGAATGAAATAATTAGAATGAGGATTATGCTATGGTAGATGAATAGTTTGTTTGTTAAATATGCTATGATTCCTATAGAAATACTAGCTGTCGCCCGCGACTGTGTCTGCGCGGGATTAAAAATAGATATTGGCCGATTATCAGACCTACTCAATATGCTCACAAATTTTCATGAGAATCGGTCAAGCCGTTTCGGAGGAGTATGGGAACGAAAATTATGACACGAGAATTTTATATATATGATTATATCGTAGTATCTCTTTGAACTTTTAGACATTATTAATTAGAATCATTTGCCGCGAATGACTTGCTTTAGTTATATAGTCCAGTGTTAGAATGATTAGTGAGGGGACACAAACGTCGACATTTAAATAAGGCTAGTGTTGCCGGCATATGCACCGGCATAATGTCGGATTTTCTTCCTAACAGAACGAAGGAAATAAATGCATAATTTGGTGGGAACGTTTGAACCTGTAACCGTTACAGCGGTACCTAATTATTAACCATTGGCTTTTGGTGCTTCAAATAGTAAATATCATATGATATAAAATATAATATGTTATACATATTACAACTAGCTATCGTCCACGATTCCGTCCGCGCAGACTTAATGAATAATTTAATTATGTGTTCTTCCAAGCTATGTTCTGAAATCCATGCAGCGCGTTTTAGAGATACCCTTTAACAAACATCCATCCATCCAACTCAAGATTCGCATCTACTATAATAATAGCTATTGCACGAGATTTCGACGGTGTT